ATGCCAAGTCCTTCCCTTTTCAAAAACTCCAGGACAGATGAATCTAGACAATATTCCCACAGTCTGTGGCATTGACTGATAGGCATCTTTGTAAATATACAGTATCTTCAGTATTGGAGGAGGGGCATGGTGGAAGGTGACTGGACCATGGGGACAGATTTGCACCTTGCTGTTCTAGTGATAGTGACTGAGTTCTAATGAGATCTAATTGAAAAGTATGTAGCACTTCTCTGTTCACTCTCTCCCTCTGTCCTGCCACCATGTGTAGATGTGCCTGTTTCCCCTTAGCCCTTCCACCATGATTTTAAGTTCACTGAGGCCTCCCCAGCCATGTCTCCCATACAACATGTAGAACTGTGAGTCAATTAAGCCTCTTTTCTTTCTACATTCCCCTGTCTTAGGTAGTTCTTTATAGCAGTGTAAGAATAGATTAATGCAGTATTTAAACTCTTTCTTTCCTCAAATATCAAAGTTCAGATTTTGTAGGCCTCCAGAAACATTCTACAGCAGTGTAGCTGCAAAATGAGCAGGAAAGTTTGGGACAGCAAACCCGAGGTAAACTGTGCAAAGGTAAACTTTCTGAAGGCTTAGGTTTACTTCTACACAGGTGTTTTCTGTAGGACGGCACCAAATGGACATCTCAGTTACAGAAAGTTAACTTTCCAAGGTCAGCCTAAGTCTGGTTTATTGACTCAAGTATCACACTATGAACATATTTAACTTAAATTAGGCGTATTCAGGAATGAGTGGGCTTGGATGTAGATGTCAATCACTTCACAGTTAATGATGAATTGAATTTAAGGATTTTGATGTTTCAGATGACATTTTTATCATCATTTTTCTCTTTTTGTTTTGTTGACAGCCTGCTACAACAGCACTGATAACCTTGCTGGTTATCTCCTTATGTTAGGCAGTGAACTTCCTGACAATAAGCAGAGTCACTGCAATGTATTCTTTTTAACAGAATTGCAATTAAGTGGTAAAATAGGATATGCCTCTAGATATTTTTCTGTCATAAGTTTTAAATATTATTTTAATAGATAACCTGTTTTGACTGGAGATTATCTGTTTAAAATTCTATTACTGCTATAGATAGTATAGCAGTATATAACCCTTTGCACAGTTTACCTCGGGTTTGCTGTCTAATCAGGAAGAATCATTGTGATATGTTTGTGTTTACATTGATAGCACCATTTAAACTTTATACTGTAGACAAAGAAACAATGTCCATTGTTGCTCAAAATGAATCTGAACATGGAGTTAAATTTTCCAACTCGCATTCAGGCAATGTATATTTCTCAAAACCACTATCATGATAAATAGTTTCTATTTTGAATTAATTTCCATGTTTTAAAAGAGTTAAGATGTTAACCATTTTGCTGATTCATTCCACGAAAATAAAAACTCTTTAAAAAAGGCATTATTTTTATTAAGGTTGTATATACATGTGTGTGTGTGTGTGTGTGTGTGTGTGTGTGTGTGTGCGTGTGAATGTGTTTATTTTAATAAAACTATTTTGTAATTCACTTAATGGTCTTTAGCTTGAATTTTCAAAAGGTACAACTGTTAGCAAATTGATAGGAATGTAGATAACAATGAATTAAAGGTTACTGGCAGCCTAAGACACTGTTTATCTCTTTTAAGGTAGACAGAATTCAAATTGCCTTCATTAGCTGAGCAATATGCTGTGGAAAATGTGCTGGGTACTTATCAAGAGGCTCTTTCATTTGCATTTTTGCTAAATAAACAAGCTGCTCTGTTTCTTAGCTGCTCAAGAGCTGTGAACAGAAGAGAAAGAAAATAATTCAGGTAAGTAAGCCAGGGAGCATTCCAGGACTAGATTAAAGAAAAGAAAAAAGTTTATCAATGAAGACGTCAGAACTGTGCCATGTGTATTTGTGATACAAAAAGATAGTCTCACACATAGTTAGAATCGAGGATGTACAAATGAATTAATTCTCCCCACATCCACCAGTACCACAAGCAAAGATAGAGGCTCTTTTGATAAATGATCAATCCTTCAGCCTGACACTACTCTAGCTGCCCTGCTGTTGCTAGTTAAAAGTTTGAATTTCAATTAAGCAGTAAATCTTTACGGCATTACATCTCCAACAGTCAATTATTGTCTCCCTAATCTCTTGAAATTCTGAAACACTATTATTTTGCAGAATCCTTTCCTTCAGGCTCATTCACAGGCAAAATGTTTTTGTTAGACAGATAAAGACATAGTTGTCTCCAAATAAAAACTAAAATATTAAATAACTGTTTTGCTTAGATTTTTTGGTCATTTACCTATGTGTAAGGAGTGTTACACTTCTAGAGTATGCTAAGACGCATACTTAGCATACTCGGGAAGTAGACTGATGAATACTCTCAGGCAAAAGTGCATTGACTTGATTGTATACCTTTAGTCCATGTTATATTTCAAAATTTTCCCACATATACATTCTTTGGAAAAATTCTTAAATCATACAAAAGACATAAGCATTCTAAGCATGGATCACTCTGAAATCTGTGTAAACATTATCATCTCTTGTCACAAAATCTCCCTGTCGATTTTTTTCCCAAACATTTTCTTTATTTTCAGAGTGTTGGTTGATGCCTAAAAACCAGATAATACTGTAATTCTAGCTACTCAGGAGGCTAAGGTAGGAAGATTGTTTCATCATGGAGGATGTCAATATTTTAAGACAAAATATAGAGAACTTGATAGACATTTCTTTCATATAGAATTTTAATAATTTTAAATTTAAGAGGTCACAAAGCCAAATTAGCACATCTTCAAAACTATAGATTTATAATTGTTTTAATAATTAGATCCATTATTGCAATAAAAAACAATTTTATCTTTTCAGAATATCAAAAGAAAATCTTTTCCCTGAAAGTAAATGCAGCCTGTGTCAGTAAAATTCTACTACTATAACTACTATTCTTCTTAATCATTTAGAATGCAAATATTTCTTATTTTACTTAAAATAATTTTCAAATTAACTTGGAGAAGTCTGAACTACTTAACTAGAATACCTGTGTGATTTTGAAAAAATAAAACAAACATTTTATTTTAAATGATTTATATGTCAAACTGGTAATCTCCAGCTACCGTGTTCCAGATATTTTATTATTAGATGCTCAGGTATAGAATAGGTTAAACATGCCTGCATAAAAACACTCCTAATACATACAGACCAGCATGAGAAACCACATAGTAAAAACGAGTCTATACATTTTTGAACTAATAATTAGCCAGCATGTAAATATAAGTCTGTTTGACTTCTAAGTTTTTGGCTCTTCATTCTATAATACAAAAATCTCCCCTAGTCTTCAAACCAGTTCTTAAAAATGTAATAATTTCACATTACAGAATGTACAACTATTAATAATCATTTGAAAAAATCACTACTACATATTTTATTTTGGAAAACATGAACAGTTATTATATTTTTCTTTGAAATTGATATTATTTTATATTTAACTCAACCTAATTTATCCCATACAAAACATGAGAAAACCCTGGGTATTTTAAAACTGCAAGGCTATTAATTACACAAATCCAGCTAACTGAACCTTCTTATGAACAAGAAAGCTTAATACCATGACTAGGGTTAACTCATCAAGGTGAAATTAAGAGTTTTATTATGTGATTTGTTGTCATTAAAGCAATATACACTTATAGTTGAACAACATTCTACAATCATGAGGAAGAAAAATAAATCTTGACAATAAAAATTGGAACTATGGCTATACAGAAATCTTATAATTCTATAATCCTATAACTGTGACTTTTTTAAAGCACATAACTGAAATGTGCATTGCTGACTATGGAGAAACATGTGCCTCACATTAAGTAATTACTCTCATATTAAGTAACTAAAAGTTATTGAGGTTTCTGATTTGTACATTATTTTTGCATATCAGAATAAATGTAAGGATTAGAAAACTGACAGATATGTTGGGATAGAGTTGGAAAAATTGATTTTTGGTAAAAATGAAGATGTAATGAAAATATATAAATCATGTAGTGTCATCAGATTGGGAGACCAATGAAATGGATGAGAGACAAAAGAGAAGGAGCAAAAATTTACATGTATATATAGTTTTTCTTAATTTTATTTATTTTTAAAAACAGATGGAAGTCTGTTTAAAAAACAGAAACAGGATGTTCTTGAATTCCTGGGTTCAAGGGATACTCCCGCCTTGGCCTCCCAAACTGTTGGGAATACAGGTGTGAGCCACTGTGCCTAGCCCACAAAAATTATAGACTAGAAAGGTGATAATAGATTAGAAAATAGGGTGAGCGTGGTGGCTCACACCTGTAAGCCTAAGAATTTGGGAGGCTGAGGCAGGTGGATCACCTGAGGTTATGAGTTCAAGACCTGCCTGATTGTGAAACCCATTTCTACTAAAAATACAAAAATTAGCTTGGTGTGGTGCAGGCACCTGTAATCCCAGCTACTCAGGAGGCTGAGACAGGAGAATCACTTGAACCCAGGAGGCAGAGTTGCAGTGAGCAAAGATCTCACCATTGCATTCCAGCCTGGGTGATGAGAGTGAAACTCCATCTCAAAGAAGAAGAAAAAAACAGAGTAGAAAATAATGTAGAGAAAATATAGTAGAAACCAGACTACAGATGCTAATCAGGATTAAATTTCAAGTAGAAACACTGGCATAAGGTGTAAACAAACAGCAGAATTTTCTTAATACATATTTCATGACTTAAAACTGACTATAAAATCTTTTAAGAAATCACATTGTGAAGAAAATAAAATTTATGACATAGCATAAGGTTCTAATCTTCAATTAAAAGAACACATATATAACTATATCATCTAATGACCCACACGAATTCTTATCCTAAAATGGTATGAAAAGGCTTACATATTGCTTTGTAATTTTAAAAGTAAATTTAGGATCTATACCTTAAGATTGTAAATTGTTAAATGTCTTCAATATTCTGAAATAATAATAGAAATATTCACACTGCAAAACAAACATGTACTTACCATCATGATTAGGATTTCCTAGTGTCCATGGCTCATCTGAGTCAAAATGGGTGTCTCCTCCAATTCCTGGTCCAGGGAAGTAGGCATGTGCCAAAAATCCTCCCTCTCCATCAAAGGGAGAACTGTCCCCATGGAAACCAGATGCAAAAATAATGGTTATATCCACATCTCGTTTGCCATTTTCTAATTCACTGTAGGGAACTTCTTCAAATGTCAGAGGAGTTACATTCTGCCACACATCAAAGGCACGGCGAATAGCTTTACGAGTCTCAGGGTCTCCTACTTTTGGAGTTACGTTCTTTATACTGAAAGTCAGAAAATACAATAATCAGTATTGTTATGTGTAAGCTAACTTATTACAGGTTTTGATTGATTCAGTTAAGTAAAATATTAGAGAAAATAGTCATATTAAATAGGAATAACATATATTCATTCATTTTGTCTCTATAGCTAGATTGTGCTACATTACAATCATTTAATTTTCAGCAGCATAATATTCATTTAAAACCAAAGTTTTAAATGAAAAGATATCTGTAGAATGGTTAACAGTAGGGTAACTGAATCAATCAGTCACTTTACCTTTTGGATGAGAAAGAAAAAGGCAGATGTGCAAAATGATCAAAGAGGTGCAACAGTTTTGAGCTGAAATACAAATTTCAATTTTTTTCTAGTTATAATTTTTAGAGACACACCATTGTATCTGTATATATCAATTTCAAACAATGTATTTATGCTCTTCCTTATCTGTAAATACCAATTCAGCATAGAGCTACTTCTTAATTTTTAAAGAAATGATCAAATACCTACAATTTCTGATATTCTATTGTTTCTTATTAATTTGTCCTGGTTAAAAATGTACTGTGAGTAAACAGCTATTTAATACAAAGATCTAACAATTCCATGGATTTAAAGAAGTAACTTGGACATTATGTACCTTAGTTTGTCCTGATGCTAATAACAAATGGATTAAATAACTATAAATATTGTTCTTGATTCATTTAGAAATAATCAGATGGTTTTTTTCCTCAGTGTTTTTTCTAAACAACAAAAATCGATCTAGTATGTGTATTTTTTTATATTATAGTTCTATAAATTCAAACCATGAATGTAAAAAGCAATGGATACATTTAACAGGAGTCATAAATAAGTTTCAGATCCATGCAACCAATAATAAACTTACACTGACAAAATATTTTTGACTCTTTTTTTCTTTTTTAGAGATAGGATCTCATTGTGTTGCCCTGGCTAACCTTGAACTCTTGCACTCAAGCAACCCTCCTACCTTAGCCTTTCAAGGAGTTGGGATATAGGAAGTAATCACCATGCTCAGCTGATAAATAAAATATTTAATTACAGAAGAGGATGCCATATTCAGGTGATATATATTAAAATGTAATCATAAAAGAGAACTGAAAGTGATGGTTAAATTATAGCATCTCTAATGCATGTCATTGTATACATAGGATTCAAAATTTTTTGCCCTTTTAAGACTTTTTATCAGCATGGAGAAACTTGTAGGATTAATATGCATATTATATTTTTAATCTGATTGTATGTCAATACAATTACAAATATTAGGCAGGAATTACATAAACTAACAAGGGTATTAATTGAGCATTTACTATGAGCCAGAGGAGCACTTCATAATATCTTATTTAATCTCCTGAATAACTCAATGAGATGAGTATTTGTACCTATTTTACCAAAAGCACTGTGGATATTTATAAAAATTTAGAACAAAACCTCTAAGTGGCAGGGCTGGGTTTTCAATCCGAACATTTGGGCTAAAAATCTATTGTCTTAAATTCTACTTTAGATCACACATCTAAGATAAAGTTATCCCTATTTTCGAATAAATATCTAGATCATATTTACATTGATTATTTGGTGGTAAATATTATTCATTGCATACAAAGGAAATAAGGTAACAAACCAAGTGGAAATAGAGTGCAGGCAAGGAAGAAGAAATGCCAAGTGAAAGGCATTGAAGTGACGATGCCAGGTTCAAAGAACAGCAAGGCAGCTGGTATACTTTGGTCACAGGGAGAGAGCAGGTGTCAGGATATGAGGTCAGAAAGTTAGAATGAGACCAAATAAAGTAGGCCCCTGTAGGCCTCTCTAAAGAGTTTGGATTTTGCTCTGAGAAGGGAAAAACTGGAGCATCATGAACAGACTTATGATTTAATAAATGACTTGAGCCATTATGTGGAAAATATATTAATGTGGGGCAAGAGTTGAAGCAGGGAGACACATCAGGAACTCTTGTAAAAATCCAGGTGAGAGATGATGGTGCTTTGGACCAGGTTGGTACCAGTAGAGATTTTGAGAAGTAGCCATATTTTGGATACATTTTGAGGATATATCTCCCAAGATATATGGGTGGATTAGACATAGGCTATGAAGGAAAAAGTAAGAGCTGAGGAAGACAGCATTTCTTTTTTTGACCGGAGGCAAAGGATGGACAGAGCAAAAGAATTCATGCCTGTTCAGGGAGAAGGCTATGCAATATTTTGTTGTTTTGTTTGTTTGCTTTAACTATATGTCATATTCAGCATAGTGCCATTAGCTATTGTTTGAGGAAGAATAAACATCTACACTGAGATAGCAAAGACATTTGTCTCGCTTGCTAGTCTCTAAATTTCCTAATGGCTAAAGAAACATACAATGTAATGTAACACTGAATTTGATCTAAATTAATTTTCCTAGTAGTCTTCTATTTTCTATGCACCCTATGGGATTTCAGAAGTCCCTCAGTGGGCTGATATTCCTATGACATTACTGAAAGATCTTACTACCTAATTGGCACCGTTCCAGGTGCCAGAGATAACAGCTGTGAGCAAGACTCTGATCCAACAGCACTTATACATTTTAGTGATAAGAGATAAATAATAAACAGAACAAAATAATAATTACAGAGGAGATGATACACAGGATTTCAATGGCAGAAGGAGCCAAAGATGCCTAGCCCTTACTTTCTAGCCAGAGGGCATGGTAAGGAGACCAAACAAATGTGGCCAGTTCAGAGAACCGCACTGCTCAGTGAGTTGGATCAATGACGGAGATCACTGTGTCTGATGGAAAATGGATGAGGGGACAAAAATGAAAGTAATCAAACATTTCAAAGTTCACGTAAGAGAAGACAGAGACTAGGACTTATGTGACAGCTATGGAGATACGAAGAATTAGTTTCAGTATATGTTCTGAGATAATTGTTCATGGGGATTGGTGATGGATTTGACATGTAATGGAGAAATTGATTTTCATTTCAAATATAGAATACTCTTATAATAGAGAAATGAAATCATATTGGTATGATTTGTTTGTAAATATATAATAGTTTTGAGAAAAATGAAGCAAAATAATATAATAAAAACTAATAAATGTGGAGTATCTGAATTTGAGAAGACGCCACTGTGTTTTTCAAAGCTATGTGCTGATTAGCTTCCAGATAAGCTTAACTACATTGTATATGATTGTCATTAATACATACAAGACACCTGTATGCCAAACTCTCATGACATGAGTTTACCTCTAGAACGAACCTGTACATGTACCCCTGAACATAAAATAAAAAAACACAAAAAAAGAGAGAAAAAGGTTATGAATGCTGATGACACTGAGCCCAGGTTGAAGTGGGAAGCCAATGCCCAGTTTCACATACAAAGGGTGAAAATAAAAAGGATTAGCAAGGCTGAAAATGTGAGCTGAAAGGAAGGAGTATTTTCAACAATAAATCAGTATAAATAGAAGTTGATATCGTTACATTTATCTTCTGGAGGCCCACTTAACTGTGGATTTTGGATATTATGGAAGAATAAAGATAGCTGGTTAAATGAAATATAAATTTCTAAATGCAAAAATAGAAAAAAACAATTATAGATATGATTTCATTTTTAATAGGCTTTGCTGTGGAAGTTAAAAGGACTGTTCAAAATGGAAATAAGTACTCAGTGGTCTTACTTGAATTAAACAAAGATGGAAAATTCAACAACATTACTTCAGGAAGAAAAAATACTTATTGTTCTTATTTAAATATATGTGATAAATTTCAATTACATGATGCATTTTGGTTTTTAGTTTGTTTTGTTTTTTGAGACGGAGTCTTACTCTGTCACACAGCTGGAGTGCAGTAGAACAATCTAATCTCACTGCAACCTTCACCTCCTGGGTTTACGCAATTCTCCTGCCTCAGCCTCCCAAATAGCTGCGATTACAGACGCCCACCAGTATGGCCTGTGAATTTTTGTATTTTTAGTAGAGAAGAGGTTTCCCCATGTTGGCCAGGCTGGTCTTAAATTTCTGACCTCGGGTCTCCTCGGCCTCCAAGTGAACCACTGTGCCTTGCCGCATAATGCATTTTTAATTGTGTTCTTAATGATTTGGTAATGTTGAATTAGCAATATAAATAATGTAAAAAAAAAAGTAACCCCTCATTGCTTTTTTATGAGAGTCCAGAAAACAGTATAGTTAAAATTTCCAATTTAGATGATCAAAATTACTACCTTTATATAATACATACAATGTAGTGGTAATATAATGACGTCTTACAATATCATTCTGTGCAGTAAAAAATAAATAAATACAAATGTATAAGTATGCTTCAAAGTTAGAGTTGGAGTTCTGAACTAAGTGAACTTGTTTTCTGAAACAAGAGTTTAGAAACTTATATGCCATTGAAAGATGTATTTTGTATTTATTCATAACTGAAATAACAAAGGTCACAGAGCAATCATGAGGTAGTAAGAATAAGATTCCTACTAATAATACTAATAAAAATGTACAAATGATTAAATATATTTGCAGAATAAAAACACTGACTTAAAATGAGTAAAAGTTTGAAAAACATAATAAAGCTAATTTAATTTTAAAATATTTTTATTTGCCCTTTGTTTTAGCGAAAGAGTAAAGTGAGTACCTGTCTTATTTTAACAGATGATAGATTTCATTTTTTGAAGTGTATCTGGCATTTCATTATATAATTTCACTGATTTTTTTCAAACTTCCATTTTGGCAAATTATGAAATTTTAATCTAAAATTGATAAATTTCATCTTTAATGACCAAGTATTACACAATCTTACATAGTAAAATCAATGTCTATTTATAAGTCCAAAAAGTTCAGAAAAATTAAGAAAAAATAATATAATAAAAATAATAAATGTGGAACACTATTTAGATTTTGAAATAAAATTGAGGCCTTATCATTAGATCAAAACAAGTTCATTGAGTAATAATTTTACATATTCATAATGTTTATAACTCTTTAAATTTTTATTGTTGTATTTAAGACAGAGTCTCACTCTATG